ATCCACATACCTATCTTCAATGGGTCTATCTCTATCAGTTGATTGAATACGATGGAACCGCAAGTAATAGTGGCAAAGAGGAATTACTCATGTTCTCCAAACTTGACTGATTAGTATTCTTCAATATGGACCCCAAAACAAATCACAAAGGTACAATATCAACTGAATCTCCACCACACAGTACTAAATCTGTGTTGTCTTTTCTTCACAAATTATGCACGACCCGTAACTAAGACTTCTTCCACCCTCCAATAAAAAGAGAATGTGGAGCTTATGTTAAGACTTAGCAGCCTTAGAATTATGCTTGATAATATTCCTTTGATTTTTTCTCTTGGTCATATGTTTCTAGCACAAGTTTTGCCAAAATGTAAGCCTCGAGTCATGGAAGACCAAGACATTAAATTCCTGCCAAATTTCTAATTTCTCAAATAGCTCAAGTTTCTAGTCCTAGATGGTAACAGCGTTGTGTATCAATTTATCCCTTATTTGACAACCATAAAACTCTTTTTTACACACTTAATTTCAATTAAATATTCACACAATAAATATGATGCATGTAAATTTTAAATTTTTTTCCTACTTTTTAAATTTACAATTTCCTAAAAATTGTTATTCAAATTATGATGCAATTGTTTTTTCAAATAATAATTGTCAGGGGCTTAATTTCCTGTAATATTTTCTTCAAAAAAGGTCGAAATGTCAGTGCTACTTTGTGAATTTTGATGGGGACTCTGCATTGTCTAGTGTCAGTGCCGAACTTGTGATTTTTGATGGGGACTCTACTATATGGACTGCCCTGTCAAAGAAGAATAACACTATTGATGGTTTTGAGTAATGATTTCTTGGCGGTAAATAGCCCCATGCTAAGCTTCGACGGAAGAGTTACATAAGACCATTCCTTTTAGAGGTAACTGTAGGGAGTACGGTATCATCATTCTTGCAGGGCTTATTATTGAAAACCTAGTTGTAATGGAGGAATCATACGAATTCTCGTATGCTTAACAATCATTCCCCAGTCTTCTATCCTTTCTTTCAAAAGATTTGTTAAGGCCATATTTGAGCCACGTTATTTGAAAAAAATGTATTTTTTAACAGTGATTTGATATCATTTCAATCACACATTCTTTAATAAAATAATATTACGTGCAAATTCAAAATTTTTCCTTATTTTTTAACCACACATTTTCCATCAGTACATTATTTAAAAATGCATTTTCATTTCAATAATGTGGCTCAAACAAAGGCTAAATTTACTTAAATAAACTGAGTCTCTGTTTGGTACTGCTAAAAAATCTTATTAAAATTGAAGTTAAAGTAAACAGTTAATTTTGTCAAAATATACTAAAAATTTGATTTAAATCTCTATCAAACAAGACCAAAATTTTATTTCTTATTCACTTCCTGTTATTTTTTATTCACATTATTTTTCAGAACTTAATTCAACTCTTACAGCATCTCCAAGAGGTTATTTTAAAGTTAAATACTCTCTATTTTAACAATTGTACTATATGTAAATAATGGTATACATACGCATGATGTTAGATATGATTAAATTAGAATTTCTTCAATTAAATAAAAATAAAAAACTTTATCACCTTCTTTTTTTCATCTCATCTGTATATAAATTATTATATAATTGTTTATGTATAAGTAGCATTATTCCTATATTAAAGAGTCAACCCTTAAAATTATATTTTAAGAGGCTTTTTAAATTAACATTTTAAAATAGAGAGTGTATTTGAATTTTTAAATTTGGAGAGTCAAATATACTTTCTATAATTAAATTAAAAGAGAAATGAGGGAGTGGGTTTGTGTGTGAGGGGGGAAAAAGATAAAATGAGGGAAATAATGAGAAGATAAACAAGCAAAAATGAAAATAGAGAAAAAAAAATTGAAAACAAAAAAGGGACACTATGTAACTCTTTTAATGTATAGGTCTGACATTTATGCTCAAAAGTATTTTCTCAAATGTATGTATTCTTGTGTTTTCCTAATATGGTCTGACATTCTCCAAGACTAGAAGTACATATCAGTTACTAGTTACTGAACATTGAATTTGCAGCAGCATAAATAATAAAGTAACATAGAGTCCAACTAAAAAAATATTTAGTGCTTGTTTGTGCCCCATTATTTGTGTGTAATGTATTATGGAATAGTGATTGATGTTGAAATGTGTAGTTAAAAAATAAAAAAAAGTTTTTGATTTACGTATAATATTATTTTAATGAAGAATGTGTGATTGAAAATGAGTACCGTATAAAAAAAATAATGTGGTAAAATGTGGAAGAAAGGAAGACAAACAAAACCTTACTAAAATAAACTCACGCACCACCCAACAATATATTAGAAGTAGTATGTTCAAAGACTGCTCCAGAGCCAATTTCAAACTTAAAGATGAAAATCCTAATAAAATAAGAGGTGAATACAAGATTTCAAGGTATCTTCCATTATGCTTTAAGGCGTCCACATAATTTCTGTTTCTCCTCTGCAATCTGGAGGTGGCCATGTCAATGAATTTGAGTTTGATATCTTCAAGGGTCACACGAGATGTCTGAGTAGTAGAGACTGACCCTCTTCTTTGGCCCGATGCAGCAATCTGGATCTTTAAGTGTAACCTCAAAAATTAACGCAAACACATTACACACCAAATGCTTATGAATTGATTTATTGATATCAACCTTGCAAATTAGATAGGTACACATGTATAGAATGTGCTAGAATCCGGAATCCTCAACCGTCAGCAAGAGACAAGTGCCCACGATGTTATTAGTGGATCGATTTAACCTTGACCTAACCAATAGGAAGGTAGCTACCAGCAAATGTCTTTTGTAATCACAACTCTAAGCAAACCTCAATTAGGGTATGAAATTTTAATTTATTTTAATTGGATCACTTAACTTCAATCTAAGATCAAAATTTACCACCCTATTAATAGCCTATTGTCCCTGAAACTGTCATTCATGCTCAAAAGTATATTCTAAAAAATTCAACCTAATTTGGGTCAAGAACCCAACAAATTGATTGATGGTAAGAAGTCCAAGATTCTTTTTGGTTTTTAATCAATGAGAAAAATTCCATGACAACCAATCAATGTGTGATAACCCAACGAAAAGTCCGAGCTCTCCAATGCATTCCATGAACTGCAATATGTTGGAAAAAAAATAAGTGATTTACGTGTAGATTATCAATTAAAATAATAAATTTAATCAACATTACATTAGAAGAAAGTTAGAAAGTAAGCCTTAAGGACTCATTTTTGTGCGAATAAGCCTTAAGGACTCATTTTCGTGCGAATACCTTTGACATTGTACGGCTCCAAGATAAATCCTTCTATCTCACAATCGATTATCCTTCTATGGTTACGACCACAGAAAAATAAAGAACGAACTTCATTTCGAGTTGTCAATATAATATAATATGAAAGGTATAAGGAGTATTTTTCAATTATGTTTTCAAGTGTGATTAATAAAAAATAGAAAAAAAATTCAATGTAGTGAATTCTCCTATAATGCTTGTTCTCAACGTACACCTTCAATTACTAAAATTGAGACGCAGTTTCTTACATTTTTGGAAATTATTCAGGGTAATATATGATAACGTATCACCATCCATGTTGAACATTTAAATATTATTTATATATAATAGATAAATTTACTAGATAATTGCATAGTGTTTATTATATATTCATAACTTAAAGTGTGTGTTATTACTTCTTATATTTTAATTATGAACATAATTTTTTGATTATACAATCATGACAGTATATCATGTTAATGCTAGTGAGTCAGCATGTAAAACTTTTGATAAATATTAATTGAAAAGTTGATAAATGGTTTAACACTATTGATTATTAAAATACCTTCGACCATTTGTTAAGCCATTATTATTGAGGATAATTTAATGTTTCCATTTTTGCGTAAGAAATGACATTTTACAAGCAGTAACATTGTTATGCATCATGTCAACATTATAATTGGCTTAATGTTCAGGAGCCTAATATTTTCGTTTAAGCATTTTAACATGCAATATGTGTGCTCTTGCCGTACTACATTGCATTAAGATAGGCCTTAAAGAATTCTGAGAACACACATTTGGTTTAAACTCTTTCTGATATAAAATATGAAACTCCTTTTGTAATTGACCATTGTACCATTATAATTCTAATTATAATATATATGGTGGTTATATTGCCACCACAATTTCTAATCGATACATCACATTTTTATTGCAGTTAAGCCTCTCATCTTTGCTTATTGTAGTAGTTATTATCTTTACTTTTTTCGTCAAATTTTTATCTTCAACCTTCTACTAATTAGTATGTCTCGTCGCTAATGATGATTTATATCAAAATATTTTATTTTAATGGTTTGAAATGAAGAAAAAAATATTTTTCGCATTATTTATTTATTAAACATATGATAAAAAAAAAAAAAAAGTTGTTTTACGCTATCTCAACGGACTTTGGACATAAAATTGCTACAAAATACTTTGAGGGTATTTGATTGGGACTAAAATTAGATTTTATAGTGGATTGTGATAAAAGTTTTTGAAATATATGGTTAAAAAGTTGTGGGACTCATAAAATTAGATTTTATAGTGGATTGTGATAAAAGTTTTTGAAATGTATAGTTAAAAAGTTGTGGGACTCATAAAAGATATGATTAATATTTATTGTTTGACTTTGACTTGAATTAAATCAGGTTTTAATCCAAATCAAACATGCTCAAAATGTGTTAACTAATTAAAAGCTTGAGGATAAAAATGATATAAAACTTGTTAGGAGTATAAGTGCTATAATGAGCGATGATTAAGATCCTTAGGTGCAATTAAAATGTGGTGCAAAAAATAAAACTTGTGGTATGAATATAATTATCCTGATATATGAATATGGAGCATTGGTTCTCAACAAAATACACATAAGACTTTTGACTCTGTTATCCCTTGTTCTTGTATTCTCTTAGTTTCATAACAATTTCTTATTTATTTAGCACAAAACGTAATAAAAATGGAAGCAAATACATTTATTCATTCCATATCCAAGGATAATATTACAATATAATTTATATGAATAAACTTCAGGATTTTGAGATACACAGGACACGCAATTATTATTTCCGCAACCCGTACAATTATTTAACTTTATCATTATTGAAAGTAGAGTTACGAACTACGATATCATATTTGTGTTACGTGGTTTTTGAAATTGATAAATATGATTGAACAGGATAATTGACTATCCTATTCAATCTTTTTTATCTCAGTTTACCAACAATAGCCTTAGTAAGGGTGTTGGCCAACAATATTGCCGGGGGGATCATAGTTGCAAGAAACAAACCACCATCCATCATTGCATTGGACTCTAGCGCATCCAAGGCGTACTGAGTTACGCCACACTACTTGTGTGTAATGGAGGCACTCTCCTCCAATGCAAGAATTTGAGCTTGGGTCATAATTGCCCTTCTCAGCCACCCACAAGTCCACTGCCGCCCGGCCAGTAAAATCTCCACTACCCTTTGCAAGGTTCTCTCCATAGGGTCGGTTGCTAGAGTGGATGAGATTGCAGTCACCAATCCTTTGATTGGCATAGTTTTGTGCGAAGGTTGCTACATTATCGTCCCATGTCATAGGTCCAACCCCGACTTGGGCACGTGCAGCGTTGTGGGCGTCTAGATAGTCTTGCTGGGAGTTTTGGGCTTGAGATGAATATAGTAACATTGTTACCACAATGTATAAAAGGAGAAAGTGTAGAAACTTGGCCATTTTTGCTTTGCTTCAAGAAGTTATTTCACCAAGTGATGCAAAATGTAGCAAAACATGTGGGATTATATATAGCCAATGAAGCATGGAATTATTTGTTTATCGAACAAAAAATAATCCAACTGTAGAAATAAAAACACGTATTTGTAAAATTAAAACCTAGAATAGTCTTTGTTGGACATTTACACGTACAAAAAGTCCAAACAAAACGTACCCTAAGCATTAGGACAAAACAAACTTCTCTATTTAATTTAAGAGGGCAAAATAATAGATCAGGATTCATAATCTGAGAAAGAAAATGCATATCTCTTGTTGATCATTTGAGAGGTTTAAATTCCCTCGAATGACTCTAATATCTTTTTGTTCTTCTTTACTTCTTCTTTGGACTATAAATAAAAAAGAGTGTTCGTAACATTACTTGGTAGTATTTGAACATAAAAATTAAAAGTCAAGTAATTTAGTTATCGCAAAGCAAGAAAATTGTCTAACGCATTAACTTTAATTAGAGTAACAAGAACATTAAGAGGATACCTCCGAACAGTATATAAATTACATTATATTTTTTTCTACTAATCTAATAAAAAGATAATGTGGAGCTTATGTTTCTAATTCAATAAGACTTAGCAGCTTTAGAATTATGCTTGATAATATTCATTTGATTTTTTCACTTGGTCATATGTGTCTGGCAAAATATAAGCCACGAGTCATGGAAGAGAAAGACAAAACATTAAGTCATGACAAGAACAGAACGAGACATTAACTCATGGATGACTAAGAAAAAATGGATAGAGAGAGGACTTGCCCTCCTAGTTCATGTTGGAAGTGGCGAGTCTGGTAGGTCCAAGCAAGATAGAAATGAAAATTTTAGGCATTGCGTGAATCTAAGTTAAGTTCTAAATATTAACTTTACATATGTAAAAATCATTTTTCTCAATTGTGTTTGGTTTTTATTAGATCTATCAAAAGATCTAAAGTCATTACATGTTTAGCAACCACAGCATGTCTTTAACTTATTATATCAAGGTCATATCAATCTTACAAGAAATGGCTTAGACATATGCCCATGTATTATATGGATTAAAATCTAAATTATTTAAAGCAAACAATTAATTTTAACCATAAATAAAAGTGTGTTCGTAGCATTATTTGATAGTATCACTACACCAAAAACCACTTTTGGCAGCAGGCAGAAAACGTTGCCGTAGACTTATGGCAACGTTCAGGCGTCTGTTGTGGGATGAGACGTTGCCATAGAGCGAAGAGTTTCGGCAACGTGCATTGCACGTTGCCGAAGAACCGCTTCGGCAACGTGCAAGAGCACGTTGCCGAAACTGGGTTTAGGCAACGTGCAATGCACGTTGCCGAAGCGGGGTTTCGGCAACGTGCTCTAACTTGCAACGAAACCAAGTTTCAGCAACGTGCTCTTGCACGTTGCCGAAACTGGAGTTTGTCATAAATGTCATTTTTATTTTTCTGATCAATTATTTTACATTTTTTCTGCCAATTAAACCTGTGAATTAAAAACATATTTTTACTATCTACGCACAAGTACCTTAAGCCAACAAAAAATTAAAAGTGCTTCATTTAAGCCAATAAACATGATCCGATATGCGATATTACTTCATCAAAACATAATAAATACTTCAATTCAAAAATATACACCATCTAACCAAAGAACTATGAAAAATGTCTAAAAGTTATGTAAACGATTCATAACCGAAGCTTCTAACGAGTCCCAGCCAAATCTTTTTACATAGACGAGATCCAAGACGATACAAGCACAAAAGAAATTTTCGAACTCACTTCAGCTCCATGTAACTGCAAGAAAGAAAGAATATAACAACAAATTAATCAAAAAGAGCAAGCAATTTAGAAACAATACAATGTCATTTAAAGCTTTTTAAGACACAACTATATTCATTCTTTTTACATAACCAGTCTATACTCATTCAACGTATATAGCAGCAGATTTATGTCATTTAAAGAAAAAATTGAATCACACACTCAAGAATACAAGCTCATAATTAAAACTTGATTGATTTTTAAAAATAAGATCAATTTCATTTTTAAGAGAAGCCATTGTGCACTCATTAGTAATGCCATGAACAAACTTCCACATTCAAGGTTGTAGACTTGTGTATGCAAACATATATAGCCACTCTTGAAACATGTTTAATGACAAATACGTAAATGAAAAAAATTTAGAAATTTATAAAGTACCTTCGTCAAATAAGTCTAATGCAGCTCTTTGGCCAAGCAATAGTACTTCCTATGTCGTCACTAAGAACTCG